CAAAAGAGGGTGTTGTAAAATATGGATGACTTGAATTTTGAATTATATAATCGATGGCACTAATGGTGCAACAATTATCCCCCATTCATGATTTCGTAACCACCACACTAATGGAGCATTACTCCCTCATTCATGGTTGTAATCTTATATATTGAAATTGCTTGTATTGGAAATGGTTGTTGAATGATAAATTTTACCCTACTTCTTTGTTTATTTTATCTTCTTTTTCTCTGGCTTTGTCTTGTAACATATCTTTCATATATCTCTCCCTCTTCATTTCATAACAAGATTCGATTTATAAATCGATGTAAAATTTATTATTTTGTGTCATTTCATAATTTTATATAAAAATATTTATCAATCGAATTGTTAATTTGTAATTGTTTTACTATTTTATAAAAATATAATCAAATCATTCTTACTTTATATATTTCAAGAGAATATATTACATCCAATATGATGCATATATTGATGACGTGTTAAAAGATTTTATATTAATATAATATTATATAAATATGACTTAAATAATAAGAATCTTTAATCTGATGATAGATTTTGAGAATAAAATTATCTAGTAAAAAATTATTAAATGCTATAATAGAAATATTTCAATTCAACTAAAACGTATTCTTATTTTTTTATTATAAAACATACAATATAGAAAATATTTTCGTGGAATAAAAAAGAGATAACCAAACATGTTTTGTTGTGTTTTTTAGTCCATAAATTATGACAATCTTAATTCGCTCCATACAAACATTCAAGGCCTAATGTCCTTGCCAATTGCCAACCTTGACCTCAACTGTATGTTATTGAATGGAAACGCTACAATTGCTGATTAGGGTAATTTATATTGAATTTAATGTTTGTGTAATAGATAAAAATATGTTTTATTGTGATCTAGTCCACAAAATTTTTACAATCTTAATTTGCTCCATACAAACATTCAAGGCCTAATGTCCTTGCCAATTGCCAACCTTGACCTCAACTGTATGTTATTAAATGGAAACGCTACAATTGCCGAGGCGATTAAGATATATTGAATTTAATGTTTATGATATTGTAGGAGATAAAAATATATTTTGTTAATAAAAAAAAACATATTTTGTTATGGTTTAGTCCATAAATTTTTACAATCTTAATTCGCTCCATACAAACATTCAAGGCCTAATGTCCATGCCAATTGCCAACCTTGACCTCAACTGTATGTTATGAAATGGAAACGCTACAATGACCAATTAGGGTAATTTATATTAGATTTAATATTTTTATATAAATTTTATCTTTTATACATACATAAAAATAAGAGTGTTCTTCAACCGATTCAAACTGCGGTGACCGAACAGAAAAACTGATAATTGAATAAATCGAAAAACGAAAAAATCGAAAACTGAAAAAAAACGCATATTTTAATTGGATTGGATCGATTTTCGCATGAGTTGATAAAAATCGATCCAATCCAAACCGATCAAATCTCTTAATTCTCCTCTACTTACTTGGGCATTTTTTCAATCATAGCCCAAAAATTTCTAAACTCAAGACCCATTATCCTATCAACTAAATCCAAGAAAAAAACCTAGTCACATCTCATCAACAAAATTTCATGTGAGTAGAGCTTCATATCTCATTGCCCAAAAAAAAACTATAATATCGTTTAATGATTCTTTTGTATTTCAAAAAAATAATTACAAAGCCAATATATACAAAAGATGTTAATTGCACAATATCATCAAATAAATTTTAGGATTTTAAAAAAACCGAAAAATCGATTCAATCCAAATCGAAAAAAATTGGATTGGATCGGATCATATTTGAAAAAAAAATCAAACCGAATGGATGATTACATGCTCAAACCGAAGGAATTGGATCAGATATTTTTGCTTCCAAAACCGATCCAATTCAGACCGCGAACACCCATACATAAAAACATGCGAAGTCCGTATGCATAGAAGAGAAAAAAAGAGAATATAATTTTCCATATTTTTATGTGTAATAACATGAAAAAGAATAAATCCATTTACATTTATTTTTTTGACATGATTGGGACGGACTTGACGGAACCATGTGATCATAAGTTTCCTTTCCAATCGTCTACGGCCCTCTCTCGCCATAACCACTGCCGCATGCGGCAGCAGCTAACCTCTTCGTCAATTTTGTCAGCTGCTTTCAAAAAAAAAAAAACTTTGCTACGCCATCTCATAGGCGAGAAAAGTTAATATGGACCGGGTGCACCTCCATTCAGTGTTCCATTTTTCTAAATATGAAATTTTTTATGACACTTTTATCCTTATTATTTTAATTTTTTTCTACTTTTGAAAAAAGGTGGACTGCATCCTCAATGGAACAATCATTGCGAGTATCGTGTATATAATTAATGAATTTGACAACTTTTAAAAGTGAGGAATATATACTTTTAAAAAATATAAAATTATCCTACTTATCAAAATAAATAAATATATATAATTAATTATTGATTAAAAAATTAATTTCAGATATTATGATATATATATATATATAATAAATTATGAAATTACTGATTTTTTATTCAAAAAATATAACTTCACAACTTTTTTAAGTCAAATTCATCAAATGATTTGAGCATGCGGATAGGCGCATAAGTAAAAAAAATACTTCTATTTAGTTACCCAAACAAAAATCCTTCTATTTGTAGAATTTAGACTTTAGAGGAAGAACACTAATATAAATGTTATCTTTATCCTAAACCAAACCAGTTGAGGTTGATGACAGATAAACTAAAATGAAAAGTAAAAAAAAAAAATAAAAAAACTTAAAAGAAATATGAATAACAATACAAATGAAACATAACAATAAACATTTCAAAAGAAAAAGACAAGAAAATGAAATGAAAATAAAGATATAAAAAAAAATAAGAAAGTAAAAAAAAAATACAGAGAAAAAACAAATTAAAGAAATAGAGAGATTATTGCCAAAAAAAGAAAAAGAAATAGAGAGATAAAAATAAAGAAAAGAAAGAAAATAAATAAATTAATAATAGAAGAAAATAAAGAGATAAGAAGTGAAAAAAAAGAAGAAAAAAAGAGGTAAAGAAATAAGTAAAGGGAGAGATATAGGGGGAAAAGCTAAAAAAAATGACCATATAAAAGATAGGAAGAAAAACGGGTCTAGTCATCCACAATGCTAATAATTTTTCTCCAATTCATTGTAAGACACAATGACCGTTAATCTATATCACACTCAATTAAGTCTCACTTTACTACCTTCCTCCAAGAAAGTTTCGGCCGACCTCTTCCTCTCTTTATGTAGAGTTATTGATAACACATTTTTGTTTTTAGGGGAGTATCTAGGGGTCTTCGCATTATATGCTCAAACCACTTCAATCTATGCTCTCTCATCTTTTGAACCACCGAATACCTTTATTTCTTATCTTATCCATCCTTATATGATCACACATCCACTTTAACATCTTCATTTCAGTTACTCATATTTTATGCTAATGTTGCCTGTGAGTTAGCCAACATTTAGCTCCATATACATTGTATGCCTTATTGTAGTTTTATAAAAAAAAAAATCCTTTTAGCCTAAGAGAAATCTTGCGGTAGCACAAAAATCCTGATGCACTATGTTATTTCATCCATCGTGCTTTGATTCTATGATTTACATCATTATTAATATCTTCACCATTTTGCAAAATCGATCTCGAATACACGGAGTCTTGAATTTCATCTCTTGCCTGAGCAAACTCATACTTCATATATTGAGTCTTGCTTAAGCTTAGCGTAAAATCTTTATACTCCAACGTGCTTCTCCACAATTCTAGTTTTTTGTTAACATTTGTTTTGGTCTCATTAATAAGCATAATATCATATACAAAAAGTATACACCATGTCAATTCCTCAATATCTTGTGTCAGTTTATCCATAACTAGAGCAAAGAGACAAAGACTCGTAGCAAAGCCTTGGTGTACACCTATTCTGATAGGAAAATAACTTGAGATTCTATTACAAGCTTTCACACTTGTAATTGACCATCATACGATAAATCCAAATTGATTTATGAAGACCTTGGTCTCCTTCCGCAAGTGATATTTCTCACAACTTCATAGTATGACTCATAAGTTTAATATCTCTATAGTTAGAACTATTCTGAATATCTCCTATGTTTTTTGTAAATAGGCACAAATATAATTTTTTTCCCATACTTCATATATCTTATTTGTCTGTATTTAGAGGAAGAACAAATGTACAAATTTATCTAAAGGAAAAAAATTTCCAACGAAGCCCAAAATATTAGTGAGCAGCGGAATAAATATAAATAATATTTATTATTATTTTTATTATTATTTAATTTATGTAAAATTTCAAAGTAGATTGATACGAAATAAATTTTATTTAATATTTTATTTTTTAATTTAAAAATATGATCTAAAATAAGATATAATTAGTCTATTACTTATTGATCTTTTATTATTTAATAATCTTCAATCAAAGAATAAAATAAACAGTTAATTTTATTCTCTTTTATCGTAAAGTATTTAAATAAAGGGAAAAGTTTTTGCCATTTTAAATGACAGAAAGTTATGTTATTTTAAGAGAGATACAGACACAGAAAATTTGAATTTTAAATTAAAAAAACCATCCACTTGCTCTCTTCCGTGATTTCCGTTTTTCTGTGTCTATCTCTCTCCTAAAATGACATAACTTATGTCATTTAAAATGATAAACAACCAATCCTTAAATAAACATATAATTATTTTATTTCATTGCAATTGACACTAGTATATTTTATTTTATTATAAATTAAATAACCTATCATAGCGTAACAAGTAACAAGAGGCGCCCCCCGTTTTTCTTACTGTCTCTAGTGAGAGAGTCAAAGAATGATGTTGTGGACATGATGTTGTCTACAGTTACTCCATCATTTCCACCAACACCGTGCAATCCACGCAAACCCCACGAGCATTTTATATATATATATATATGTGAGTGCTCGCTCTACACGATACCTTTAATTAAGGGAGAGAAAAAGAGAGATGCAGAGTCTGCAAGAGAAGGCTTCTGAATGGAGTGGAGTTCAAACGGCCCATGCTTTCGCCATAGACGACAACAATTTGTTTCACAAGCTCGGCCTTCAAACCTTCGTTAACCTCTCTACCAATTTCTATAACAGGTCCTATTCAATTTGTTTATCATCAAAAGTGTTACCTTTTTGCCTTTATTAGTGTACGCCCTGTATCTTAGATACTAAACGTACTAACTTTTGTTTTCTTGATTCCTAATAATTTGAGTTGAGTATTTTGGTTTCTGGGGTTGTGGTCCAGGGTGTATGATGATGAGGAAGAGTGGTTTCGTTCAATATTTGCTAATTCTGAGAAAGAAAACGCAATTCAAAACCAGTACGAGTTCTTCGTTCAAAGAATGGGAGGTCCTCCTCTCTATTCTCAGAGAAGAGGTGAACTTCCTAACTCTAATATTTGAATTCATTGCTCTCTTTGCTTCAATGGTGGGTCATGGGTGGGTGTTAACGTTCCACATCACTTAACAATTAATCCAAATGGTGAAGGGTAATTAACTTCATTCTATTTTACCATTTGAAAACAATTGATATTGAGGGCAACTACCTATACTAATAGGTATCACGGTGGTAGGTTATATTTAGAAACTTTTTTATTTACAAATTCTTATAAACCATTGATATTGAGGGCAACGATCCTTTTCCGTATTATATTAGTTATAAAGCTATTTTGCACCTACCAGCTCTATCAAGTGATCGAGTCTCCTCTGTCTGTCCTTCATTTAATGACATAATTGGCATATGCTTTACTCTTTTTATTTTTTAAAAGGAAATAGATTGAAGGAAATTAAAATTAGATCTATACAAAAAAGACAAAAAGGATCACGAAATTTGGGTAAAGACTGATGTACAGGAAAATTATTCTTACAATTTTGATCATAGCTAAAATATTTAATAAATTAAAACAGTTAAATATAAAGAAAATAAACGATTAAAATTGAAAATATAGGAAAAGGAGAACTGGCTTCTAATAAGCAAGCAACTTGCAAGTTTAAAACTTTATAATCTCTCTACGTGGCAGGGCATCCTGCTCTAATTGCTCGACATCGACCATTTCCTGTCACACATCAAGCTGCAGAGAGGTGGATACATCACATGCAACAAGCCTTGGACAGTACTTCGGATATAGATGATGACTCAAAGACCAAACTGATGAACTTTTTCAGGTTTATTTTATGAGAAATGTTATATTTAAATTTTTTTCATGGGTTTGCTTTTTTTTTTTTTTTTTTTGCAGTTATTGATAAATTATCTACAGTAAATTCAATATGACGTTGTTTTGGGACGAAAATCATGGTGTTTTTATAATTTTAATTTACTTCAAGGTTATAATAGTTTTTATATTTATAATTTTTAAATTTTCAATATTAAAACGACGCTGTTTTGGAAATAAATGTAGATAACCTATTTGCAATAACTGCAGAAATATTTTTTCCTTTTTCATTTATAAACTTAATTATGTATTTTCAAAAATAGATTCGGCTAGAAATGTATTACTTGAAAAGGGTATTCTAATATATTATAGGATTGTAAATAATCTGTACAAAGGGTTCTCTATTTATAGAGAATATTTGACCTACTTTTAACCTAATGGGCTTGGCTCAATACAACAAAGGGCTTGGCCCAATACAACAATAAATGACTAAATAAAAACTAAATAATAACTAAATCAATATTATTTACAACACTCCCCCTCAAGCTGAGGAATAGATATTTATCATTCCCAGCTTGCTAGTAAGTTCTTGAAATTTGTCTGAAGGAAGCCCCTTTGTTAATAGATCAGCCAATTGACGCCCAGTGGGAATGTATGGAGTGGTAATCAACCCGCTATCAAGTTTCTCTTTGATGAAATGGCGGTCAACCTCAATATGTTTAGTCCGATCATGTTGAACTGGATTATGAGCTATACAAATAGCGGACTTATTATCACATAGCAGCTTCATAGGTCCCTCACATTTTATTTTGAGATCATCAAGAACAATTTTCAGCCACAGTAACTCACTAATGCCTTGAGCCATACCTCGAAATTCAGCTTTTGCACTTGATCTGGCAACCACATCTTGTTTCTTACTTCTCCATGTCACCAAGTTACCACAAAGAAACATGCAATAACCAGTGGTAGAACGACGGTCAGTCACGGATCCAGCATAATCAGCATCTGTGTAGACTTCTAAAGATAGATTGCCATCACGTCGGAATAACAATCCTTTACCAGGAGTACCTTTAAGATACTGAAGAATTCTCTCTACTGCCTGCATGTGTTTTTCTTTTGGATCGTGCATAAACTGACTGACAACACTAACAACATAAGCTAGGTCTGGTCTAGTATGGGCCAGATATATCAATTTCCCAACTAGCCGTTGATATTGTCCTTTATCAACTAGAGGACTCTCTTCTTCATAGCCCATCTTGTGATTCTGCTCAATAGGAGTATTAGAGGGTTTACACCCGAGCTTTCCTGCTTCTTTGAGAAGATCAAGAACATATTTCCTCTGGCTGATAAAAATTCCTTTGCTTGAATGAGCTACTTCTATCCCTAGGAAATATCTCAGTTTCCCAAGGTCTTTGATTTCAAACTCAGAGGCAAGTCGTGTTTGCAGAATCTGTCTCTCCACAAAATCATCACCTGTGATAATAATATCATCAACATATACAAGGAGCACAGTAAGCTTCCCATTTTGGGAGTGCTTGAAGAAAAGAGTGTGATCTCCTTGGCTCTGTCTGTATCCTAAGGTCATCATAACCTTAGTAAATCTTCCAAACCAAGCACGAGGTGACTGCTTCAATCCATACAAGGCCTTTTTTAATCTACAAACTTTATTTTCCCCCTTCACAGAATCAAAACCAGGCGGGATTTCCACGTAGACTTCTTCTTCTAACTCACCATTGAGGAAAGCATTTTTCACATCAAATTGATTTATATCCCAATTGTAATGGGCAGCAAGGGATAACAAGATTCTCACTGTATTCATCTTTGCAACTGGAGCAAAGGTTTCTTCATAATCAATGCTATAGGTTTGAGTGTAACCTTTGGCCACTAATCGAGCCTTATATCTCTCAAGAGTGCCATCAGAATTATATTTCAGGGCATAAACCCATCTGCACCCTACTGCTTTCTTTCCGTTGGGTCTATCAATAACCTCCCATGTTTTATTTTTCTCCAAAGCATTCATCTCCTCTTGCATGGCTTGAGCCCAATTCCTATCTTTCAAGGCTTCATGTACTGATTTTGGGATTGCAATAGAATCTAGTGCTGAAACAAAGCTTTTGTGCTGCACAGAAAGATTAGCAGAGGAAACAAAGTGGGAGATAGGGTATTGAGTACAAGAGGGACAGGAAGAACAAGTTTTCTTGTGACAAGATCTTTTTCCTTTTCTAAGAGCAATAAGTAAGTCATCAGAAGTAGAAGCAATGGGTAAGTCATTAGAGATATCAGAAGAGATAGACAAATCATGAGAGGAAATAATATTAGAATCAGAAACAGGAGATTCAGGAGACTCAGAAGAAATAGGAGATTCAGGACTTACCAGTGGTTCAGACGATTGAGGTTGCTGGTGAGACAGTATGGGTTGTATCTCAGGTGTATTTGAAGGTTCTGACACACCAGGAGCAGACACACTAGGAAGAGAGAAGATTGATCCAGACTCAAAGAAGGAAGGGGACGAGTCTTCTGAAGAACTATTCTCCCCCTGACGATGAGGACCCAGGAAATAAGATTCAGATTCTTGAAAGGTGACATCCATAGAAACAAAAAATTTCCGACTTGGTGGATGATAACACTTGTACCCTTTTTTATAAGGGTTATAACCAAGGAAGACACACTTAAGAGCCCTAGGATCCAACTTACTCCGATTTTGTTTATGAACATGGACAAAGGCAACACATCCAAACACTCTTGGTGGAAGGCTCTGCAATATGGGAACAGAAGGAAAGAAGGAAGTCATGGAATGAATAGGACGGATATTGTTAAGGACCCGTGAAGGTAAACGGTTGATCAAAAAAGTTGCAGCTAATACTGCTTCTCCCCAATAAGAACTAGGAACAGATGTCTGAAAAAGTAATGCTCTAGCAACTTCAAGAAGGTGACGATTTTTCCTTTCAGCAACCCCGTTTTGTTGAGGGGTATCAACACATGTGAGCTCATGAATCATACCTCTGTCTGAAATGAATTGTGACATGCGTTGATTGACGTACTCAGTACCATTATCAGATCTGAGTCTTTTAATACCCTTACCAAACTGAGTCTCAACCATGTGATGAAACCGAATAAATATCTCTGGTACTTCAGACTTGTCTTTCATCAAGTATATCCATGTTATCCGAGTACAATCGTCAATAAAAGAAACAAACCACCTAGCACCTGAAACACTGTGCACTTTAGAAGGCCCCCAAACATCAGAATGGATAAGAGAAAAAGGTTCCCTGCTTTTAATAGTGCTAGAAGGAAATGACACTCGATGGTGTTTTGCAAATTCACAAACATCACAATGAAAGGTCTCAACCGACTTATTGAGAAACAGAGAGGGGAACATAGACTTCAAAAGACTAAATGGTGGATGCCCGAGACGCTTGTGATGGAGCCAAATCATAGACTCTGCAGTAGAAGGATGACGTGTCATTAATAACTGATTTTTGCTAGCATGGTCTGGAAGGAGATGATACAACCCATCCTGTTCATTAGCAACTCCAATTGTCTTCTTCGTGGTAAGATCCTGAATAAGACAATGAGAAGGAAAAAATGTGATAGAACAATTCAAATCAGTTGTAAGTTTTTGAGTGGAGATAAGATTAGTAGAAAGCTGAGGAACATAAAGAACATTTTTAAGAAACAAGGAAGGTTGAATTTGAATGTTACCAGAACCAATAACTGATTTATGGGATCCATCAGCTACGGATATAGTATGACTACCAATAGTAGGATGATAAGAACAAAACAACTCAGTACGACAAGCTATATGATCAGTTGCACCAGAATCCAAAATCCATGAGGTTTTAAAATCAGTGCAAGAAGCAAGAAGAGATATAGAACATGTGCTCTTACCAGATAAGATCGAAGAACTATCATGCTCGGCCATTCTTTAACAAAAAAAAGTTAACAACCAGCGATAAAATCAACCAAACAGAATATCAAATGATCTCTGATCAGAAAAATAATTACAGATCCAGACAGAAGACAAGAAGACGAGAAGAATGGTGGTGGTCCGGTCCAAAAACACAGCCGCACGCGCCTCCACGCGCCGGAGAAAGGAGCTGCGCGTGGGATTCACTCGCCGGGAAAGGGGCGGCGCGTGAGAGCGCGTGGATGGGCTTCGCCGGCTGAGATTTTTCTGGTGTGGTCGTCCGGTGAGCGCGCACCTGTCTGTGGGTGGTCGCGATTGAAAAGTCGCCGGAAAGTGGTCCAAACGGTGAAGACAGATCTGATTGGAGGCGGTCGGAGGTGTTTCGGTCGTTTGTGGCGGAGCAACACTGCGTAGAATGATAGATCGGAGGAAAAATAAGGTCAACAATGGTCCCCTTGGTCCAAAAGGTCCCCGGAAAAATTTTCCGATGGCGGCTAATGGCGGCAAGAGGCAAAGAAATTAGGGTTTTGTTAAAAAAGAAGATAATATGTGCGGAAGCAAAGCCCTCAGATCGAGAGCTCTGATACCAACTTGAAAAGGGTATTCTAATATATTATAGGATTGTAAATAATCTGTACAAAGGGTTCTCTATTTATAGAGAATATTTGACCTACTTTTAACCTAATGGGCTTGGCTCAATACAACAAAGGGCTTGGCCCAATACAACAATAAATGACTAAATAAAAACTAAATAATAACTAAATCAATATTATTTACAACAGTATTCTTGAAAATAAGAATTTGTAAATAAAATTTTTATAAATATAACATATCTCTTATTTTATTTTCTCCCCGGAAGTATCAATTCATGGAAAACGATTACTGAATATAAACGTTCATAACAACCTTACTTTTTCAGGCACACTGCATATTTTCTTGTGGCTGGAGTTGAACTAAAGAATCAAAACATGCCATGCAAGGATGCAGCCGGAAATCACCCATGTAAAAACTTTTAGCATTTTTCTCTTTGTAAGACAGAGAGAAAAATGAGATGTATGTTTTTCAATGTTTATACTTTGTCAAATCTATCAATAACTCTTGATGCTCCTGTTGTTGTTTGTATTTTAACGCATCCTAGACATAAACTCCTACAACACAAGCACATACATATTTATAATTAAGGGAAATATTTTTCTCATGTCGTTAAAGATAGCTATCTTATATCATACCTTCATCGAATTTTGTGTCAACTTTTTCCTTTCTTTTTTTCTTTTGTTTTAAATTATGGACTCCACACATTTATCTCACATCAAGCAACATGAGATTAATAACTCCCTATAATTAAACCGATAACTCTAGTATAACTATAGACAACGATACATGCTCTTCCATAATGGTAATAAAAAACCATATGGGCTGCTTCAGTTTTGTGTTCTTGTTGAACACATTATATGGGCTGCTCCATCAACTTAAATTACCTTGATTTACACAATGAAAAAGCTCCGACAAAGCCCGGATAGAGTGGGGCCCGGCCTTGTATTGCCTCTGCTAATGGAATTGTTGGTGACTTGGTGCAGATTTAGAACACTCGCATTCGGCTTCTAACAAATCATAATTTTCATTAAGGAACAACCATCCTGATATAACTCATCATAGTTGTCTTATTTATTGGTGGTGAGGGGAAGAGCTCAATTTAATCAACAAATCATAAACGTCGCTGAAAAGGGTTAAGACCCTTACTGGCTGTAAGATGAGGGGAGGTGCTCTGAGTAATAATATATGTGAATACTAAGGGTTTGAACCCTGTTATTGGGTTAGGCTGCCAATCTGTACACATACATATCTATATTCAAAATAAATTTGTGGTAAGATTAGGCATATCTTTGTTTAAAATTTCAAATTTTCTGGAACATATGAAAACTATTGAGAATTCAAGTGAGTGATAAAAAGTCTCAAAGGAATGGGTTAAACATAGCACATATAAGTGAAATGACCCATAAACTTAATATTTTGAGGTTTTGAGTTAAGATATGGTGTCAGAGCTTTTTATTGTGGGTTTGTTATTTAGTATCATTTGATGTGTGAATGATACTCTCTTCTAATTGGATTTTCCCTAGCTGTTGCAACAAAAATTATAAAAAAAATTAAAATATATTTATAATTATGTTGGAAACCGACAATTTACGGCATTCAAATTGCAAATGAAAAGAGAAAGAGATAAAATTGACATGGTGATTTACCATGATTTACTCAATGTAAGCTACGTCCAGTTTGTTTGTACTATATTAACCTCATCACCACTCGTTACAAGTCAATTTACAAAGAGAATATAAACAACATTAGAAAAATCATAACAACTATTCATGGGCCACAAGGAGAATGTTCTGCTTTAGAAGTTGAATTATGGGGTTGTTTACATGGGCTCCTCCTTGCTGCAAGGCTGAAGTGCTCCCATCTGGCGCTTTGCTGTGACTCGAATGATGCTTTACTTTGCCAATCTGAGGATGTGAAAATTGATGGTTTCTCATCCTTATTAGCCGCATAAGATTTGTCATTCATAAGCTTCACTTTGTGCACTTGAAATTTCGTGCCCACGAGAACAATTTATTTGTTGATATGCTTGCCAAATTCGGTCTTTATGCTTCCCCTCAGAGCTTCCGGACTTATAATGATCCTCCTGGTGATTTTATCCCAAGTTGGAATGTTTATATTATGAATATTCTGTTAGATCAGGTTATTAGTGATTTGCAGAATCTTATAGTATAATTTTTGGGGTTAGATCAATTTTTTTTGGCTTCTTGAGCCCTCCAATATTACAAATATGTGTGTGTGGGTGGGGGGAGGAGGGAATGGAATGAACAAATCTAACCACCGGAGAATTTGATTTAAAACAAAAAAAAAAAAGACATAAAATACATAATGAATAATTGAATATATAGGAAAACCGAGAAATACAAATGAATAATTCTTTTTCAAAGAAAACAAATCATAAGAAAATAATAGTGTATTTTATAAACAAATTTATAAAAAGATCATCGTAAATAAAATTTGAGGGTGTTGCTGGAATTTTGGATGAAGTTGTGCATCACTCTTTGGCTGCCAAAAAAAATTGGAATTCACGAACAACAAAAAAATAATTGAAACTCTGACATATTAATATCTAGGAGCCAGGTTTTAATGCAATTGAAGAAGGTTCGAGAAAAGAGTCCTGTTTAAGGCTTATTTGTTTGGATGAAGTTGTGCATCACACTTTGTTCTTCTATTTGTAACTTCTGCTGTCAACATGGGAAAAAAAATTATGTGCATACGATACATGTTGCCCAAAAGAAGAATTTTTTTTGGACATATATGAAAATAGAAATGCAAGAAAGGAGTAATATGAAAAAAAACAACTTTTCAAAATTGGAAAAAAGGAGTACCATGTAGGTACGCCGCACGCAAGTTTTGCTCGTCAAAATGCTGTCCAATTCAAGTTAAAGCGTTTCAATTTTTGTTTGGAAATAAAAAGCGTTTAAACTTTGTTCTGTCTGAATACACTTTTTAAGTTTGCATTCAAGAACCACAACCAGCTATAAGTGCTTTTAGCTTGCTAATTATAACGTTTATTGAATATGATGATCTAGTTCACGCGCAGTACCAAAGTTTTAAACCTTTCGGCTAATGTTTAGCTTTAACAACATGTGACAACATGGCACGGAATCCGAAGATGCAATTTACTGACTTTAAAAGTCTTAATTTAATTGGAAAGAAAAGAGAGAAAAAATTAACATAAATTCCTTGTGTGATGTGAAGAGAGGAAGAGAGCTAGACAATTTTTTTTGTTCACAGATTTCATATTTTTAATATTCCACTTTTATTGCATAAAAAGAAAAAAAAGGAAACAAAAATAATATATTTTTGGGCTTCATTATTTTTTTCCTACTTTATCCCTTTTACGTAAAATAATTTATTAAATAAAACATAAAAAATAACTTAAGTTAAATGACTATATATATATATATATATATATATATATATATATATATATAAAATAATCAGTTATATTTATATATATTTTTATGCTTTTTCTTGATTAATTTACTGAATATTTATATATATTTTTATGCTTTTTCTTGATTAAATTAAATAAATAAAGATTTTTTCTTTTCCATTAAATAATATAAAAATATAAAAATACTTCTCTCTCTCTCTCTCCATGATAGTACTATACAACCTGTAAAGGCATAAAGCCATAAACTGGAAATTGCCATTCTAGCTCACAAGAACTTGCAACCGTTTTATTGTCAGAACTTTCATATTTTTTTAAGAGTAATTTTAAATTCTCTAATCACTCTTTATTTTGAAAATAAATAAATAAACACAATTTCTATTATTAATTATAACTAATGTTGTCAAAATTGAGTTTCTACGTATAAACAGAAGGGAATGGTAGAAACGTAAATCGTAGAAATGACATGAAACGTAAATCGTAGAAATGACATGAAACGTAAAGTTTTTACTACTTAATATCAAGATACAAAATTATATATATATGCATGTAAAAAAAATATCACATAAGTCACTACTCAAAATTTAATGAATAACTTCATATTTAAAAAATATAAGTTACATAACTATATAAAACATAAGTCTAAAAACACAAAAAGAGTTTAACAACGCCTATAACCAAGTTTCACAATATCAAAAGAATAAAGTTTAACAACTCTTAAATGGAAACACAGCGGCCTTGCGTGAGGACTTTTTTTTTTTTTTTTCAAATAGCTAGAAGAAGATACTGTACATTTGATTTGGGAAAATGAAAATAGGATTTATTTATTTTATTTTATTAAAAATATAAAAATAAAACCAATCATGAGTTAAAAGTTGATCTGATTTGATTTTTTGGTTTAAGTAAAAATGTAAAAACTTTGTTTCTACCATTTTTACACATAATTTTTACCAATTTTTACTAAGAAGAGTTTTTACTGAATTTTAAGATGTATCACCTTAGTAAAAACGTAAAAGCGTTTTTACGTTTTTACACTATTTTTTAACAACAATGATTATAGCTCATGACATAATATTAGCATAAAGTAATTTTTTCTAATTGTTGTTATCAACGTTGGGGGTAGGGTTGGCAAAAACGAGTCAACCCGTCGGGTTGGCTCGCAACCCGTCGTAAATGAATCGGGTTGAGTTGGCCTAAATGAGCTGCCAACCCGATTCAACCCGACTCGATACAACCCGGACCAAAACGAGCTAACCCGCGGGTCAAACGGGCTAGTTCGCGGGTTGGGTATTTTTTTTTTAATTAAAAAAAATATCAAAACTACAAAATTTCCATACGCATCTCAGTTGCTCATTTCATCTCAGCCCCCTTTATCATTTCATCTCACTACGCATCTCAGTCGCTCATTTCATCTCAGCCGAATTTTTTTGTCAAATTTTTTCATTTCGTCTCAGTCGCTCATTCACTTCTCTTCCAAGGTTGCTTCTGGTGTTGCCAATGGTGTTTCAAGAAGTTACAAAAGTGGCGCATAGTGTTGAATAAGTTGGGGTTAGTACAGAGAAGGGAAGATAAGTTTGGGGAAGAAGAGTCTTGGCAAAAGCTGCGACCAGCCGACCATCACCATTTCCTCGGACAACCCTCGAACGGTCGAACCCAAGAAGTACCATTTGCAATCGAAGAACCCTTGTTCACAATAAGGTCTTCTCACTTTGCTTTTTATTTAGTTTACCTTTTTGTTTTCTAAATTATTTTCTAAACTATAAAGAACCCTTGTTCAATCGAAGAGTTTTTCTAAACCTTTTTGTTTACACTTTTCTTTTTTTGTTTCGGTAGTTGTTTTATTGGTACCTTTTTCTTTTTTGTAATTTCAATCAATTAAACTACTGGGAAGGAAGCTAGTTTATTCACTATGCAGTGATCATAATTGATCATTTCTTGAATTCATTCACCTTATCGGAGATCTTGTTATCATACGTATAATTTGTACCGTATTGGCCATGGAACTCATAGAACAATTTGTATTTTGTAATGTGTTTGTCTATTGCAATGTTGGGATCTCTTCATTTATTGGCAGTGTTAATAATATTGTACAGTGTCGAAGAACAAATAAGATTAGCTCCACAGCAACCAATTTTTTTGAGCCAACCCGCAAGCCAACCCATTGACAATATTTCGAGCTAACCAACCCGCGAGCCAACCCGTTGGCATTATTTCGAGCTAACCCGCGAGCTAATTATCGAGTCAACCCGCGAACCAACCCTAACCTGACTCGGGTCAGGCTGGGTTAGATTTTCTGATTCGTTTCTCTTTTCGGGTCAACCCTAACCCGACCCGATTTTTTCGGGTTGGGCCGGGTCGAGCCGGGTTGGCCCGTTTTGCCAACCCTAGTTGGGGGAAGGCTTTGTTGTCAAGAATTCAATCAAATCTACCAAATATTCTGAGTCAGTTATTCGAATACGTTTAAATTCAAGTAAATTTTTTAAAATATAAATTAAAATTATTTAAAATTATAAAAAATGTATTTTTTTTTTAAATTTAAAATAAAAAACTCAAGAACCATATGTATGTGCTTTAAGGGAGAGTATAATAATAAATGAGGAAGGTTATACCTATAATCTATTTTCGTTTACAACCATATCTTAACCGTTGATTTTTGCCAATCAACGATTGAAATATAATTGTAAGAGGTTGTATACGAAAATAGGTTGTAAGTATAACCTTCCTCATATTTTTGTATATTAAATCAGAATATGTTTTTTAAAAGTAGTTTAATTTATTATGAGGAAGGTTATACTTACAACATATTTTTCTTTACAACATATTTTTCTTTACAACCTCTTACAAATTGTAACCATTGATTTCTACTAATTAACGGTTATTATTTTCGTAAATTACACTCATTAATTAATTATTAATTATTAGGAAGACATATAATTAATTTAAAAAATTAAATTTTAATTTTAAAAATGAGAAATAAAAAAAAAAGTAGAAAAAGAGATTGAACCGTATCATCCATGTCATTAACCTATTGAGTTTTAAAATAAAATATAATCAATTTATAATATTAAATGGCTTTAACGTTTCTACCGAGTTATCTACATTCGCTCCCAAAATGATGTTATTTTGGGTTGAAAAATTAAAAAAATAATAAAAAAGACTATTATAACTCTGAAAGAAATTATACAGAAAAATGTTTAGGCAGTTACTACAGATAAGTTATCTGCGTTTACTCCCAAAATAACGTCGTTTTGATGTTGAAATATTAAAAAATTTAATTATAAAGACTATTATAACTCTGAAATAAATTAAAATTACAAAAACACTTTAATTTTCGTCCCAAAACGACGTCGTTTTGGCTTCACTGCAGATAACTTATCTGCATTAACTGCAGAAAAAATAAATCCTAAAAATATTTTGATTTTGACCTCAAAACGACGTCGTTTTGGACTCAATATAAATAAGTTATCTTCATTGACGTAGGAAAAATGAACTCCATATAAATATATATAAATGATAGGATATTCTATTTATTTATTTTTTAATGCCTATCTTACTTAATCATCTCTAATATCGATAGATCATAATGTTAACTAAATTTTACAGTTTATCTCTCTTTAATAGTTAATTGTTAAGCAACTTGCACGAGATTCCAATCAAATCTATATATTGTAGCTTACCAAAGACATCCCATAGATAAAATAGATTGACAAAGTCTTTACAATTCACCAACAAGAAAGCATGCCATTATACTAAGATGAGATAAACAGATCATACCATTACTATAAAAGAGAAGCACTAATGATCATCTCTTTCCAATTTATTTAAATTCATCACTAAAATACTTATATGCCTTGCAGTCACATGTACCCCCTTCATTTGTTCCAGATAAACAAATTTCTCCAATCATCATCCTGTAGATACCGTCCCACATAGTAAAACAATGGATTCTATTGCAATTATCCTTCAATCATTACTTGGGCTGAGCTCAACTCTGTATGGTCATACACAACTCCTTTTGGACTAATCAACTTATTAAGGAGCGAGTACCAAAAGAAATAGAACATATTTTCTTTTTTGCCCGGAAACGTCAGATATTATGAAATTAACATCAGTTATTGCACCAACTGATGAGACATAAACAAAACATATTGACATGACTTCACTCTATCTCTCTATCTCTTCTAAGAAAATAACATTACTCTAATTTATTTATTTTTATATAAATCATCCATCAACAGGTGTTAGATTATTCGGAATTCAAGTCGGAAAATATTATAAGGGGCCAAAAATTTTCGTGCCAAATATTTTAACATAGTTATATACCAAGCGCTCGAATTGGAGACACCGGAATTCGATTTGCCACATGTCAGCAGCACTATGACACTGCGTATAGAGAACATTATAGTTAAAAACCAAAAAAATAATCAGGCACTAGTACTGTAAGATTCTTTCATGTTTATCCGCGTGTTCCAGTTCCTCTAGCGAATATATTAAAGTAAGAGCCTCTTGAGTTCCGTCAGCATCTTCATTTACTTACGGCTAAAGTAAGCTACAATATTTTGAAACATTCAATTCAAGCTTTATTCATTTTTTTAATTATGGTGTGCTGTGGTTTCCCTTTCACTACCATAATGAGGTCAACTTGCAACAGCAAAAACATTATTGAATTGCCAGAAATAACAAACATAGAAACCTAAAGTTATGATCAAAACTCAAAAACACAATGTCACAAGTTGTGATAAACAAAAAGACAGAGGATCCATAATCCAATTCTATTTTTATAGTTCAAAATGAAAGGAAATAAGGGTATCAGTGCCATTGGATCCACTGTTTGAACTTTGAAACTAGTAAAGATAATCATTCAAGTGATAAATGGACGTTTAATGCTCTATGTATACATATCATTTGTCTATTAGTTAGATGTCATAAGTGGCACACATCATGAGTTGATTCAAATTTTTATCCAAAACAGCATAAAAAACAAACACCTCAAGTGAAACACAAGGGGAGAGGGAGAGGAGCATTTAGTCATGTGTAACAAAATTATAAAATGGACTCTGAAATCAAGAAGAGAAAAAGACATGTTTTTTTTTTACATTTCTGACCATCAACCTAATAAATGTTTTGGTGGTAAAATCTTAGATGGGTCAGCAAACCGAGCAGAGAAGGAACGAGGAAGGTTGTCTGGCTCCATCCATCCCTTTCCATGATCAAAGTTCATTAAGTAAGTTTCTGGATCATACACACCCTCCACTGTAGTAGGAGAATTGAAGATTTTCTTCTTTTCTCTTTTCATTTTTCTCCAAAGCATCTGCCACACTGATTTTGTGCCATCATAGCTGTGCGGCGAATAGCTCTGATAGTGGGGTTTTGTGTAACTCCGACCTAACCGGATGTTTTGTGTTGTTGGACTTCTTGAACTGAACCAGTACTTCCTGATATCCATATGCTAAGAGTACCAAGTTTTCCTTCACACCTAAAGCCTTTAAAGCAAGGTGGGGGATCTTTATATGGGCATCAAGCACATGCCGAAGTAATGCAGTTTCTGTATATTATTGGGGACCAGAAGATGTGGAGTGTTCAATACCCTTTTGGCCCTTTCTTAAGAGGCTTTACCAATGCCTAACTACCCAGTTTTTGAAGTCAAGTGCCCTTAATCTTATTCCCAATATAATATGTAGGGGATGAAATTAAGCCTGCACCATGTCAGCAAGCAGGCGCCTAAAATTTATTAGACACTTTGAATTCTAGAAGGGACCCATGAAAGTGATGAAACAACAATTGGGTGCACACACAAACAAACAAAAAAAAAAGTTTGAAGGGTCAGAGTAAAACCGGTGAAAGAGTCGTTGTTTGCTAGCTGCCTACCTCTTTCTCCCTCTGTTCTCACTCGGATCCTTTGAAATGGAAGCTTAACAATATTAATTTTATCAAGAGTAGTGCTAAACTGCTAATTACACAAAGCTTACGTTTGTAGAATTTTTATCATTCACCACGTTTTCTAATTCTACCATGTAATTCCAAATGATGTCATGTCAAATATTTTCCTTTTATTAAATTTCAGATATTTGCTGAAGGTAGGTCATTGGGGATTTTGAGATATTCAACCACTATATACATTGCAAAACCAAATACGGCCCCTGAAGTTGAGATTCCGTTTCCATCTTTATTTTCACAAGTCAAGGGTAATGTGCAGACTTATCTGACTATTATGCACTTTGAAATCCAGAATTTCAGATAAACATCAGTAGCATAATGAGTCATGGGATACGACTATGGGAAAGATGATAATATTTTGTATTTTGAACTACATGACTTGAATATACTTGCGGTGCCACTAAATCAATATTTCACCGCGCAACTATCTTGAGTTACATGATACAACACACTTGAGCAATATGCTTCCATCATCAAGGATGGTTAAAACTCAAAAGCTTTGGCAAAATTTTCACACAAGATTGATAAAACTGCATGTCAAGTTAGAATACCTATAACTTCTTGTGTGAGGATGACAGCAGAACTTAGGTTTTTAATACATAAACTCTCAAAAGAGAACAAAAGCTTTTACGTTGTCATGCCGCACCACCTCTGGACTGTGTGATAGACTTCAGTTTTTCATAAGCATCAGCACAGGCATGAGCATAGTCTGTTAATGTACGGAAGAGCTCAGGCAGGCGAGTTCTGAGACTCTGCAGTGACTTCTCTCGCACCTGAATGCAAAGTTTTTCGTGAGATTCGCGTTCCTCGTCCAGTCTCTTCTTCAAGCTCTCAACAACAAACTGCTTCTCAGCGACAGGATTGTTTGTATTTACTTCCTCTCCTCTTTCATGATCTGCTTCATCAGGGCCCCTCCGTAGTAAATGCTTCTGGTACCATTCCTCAAATGCTTGTTTTTTCCTCAAGTATTCCTTTCCTGTTTCCTCACATTTCTCCTTTAACTTCATTTCTTCCTCTTGCTGAAGTATGATCGTCTTTATCACAGCAGCAAACGAGGAAATAGCAGATTTTGCAAGCTCATCAGGAAGCTTGTCAACATAATCATGCCAACCATGGAGAAGTGTTTGGATTGGTGGATTCTGGGCTTTTGGTGGGGATGAGATTTTCTCTTTTAGGCTGCTTTCAATAGGTATGAGATTTAACTTTAGCCAGCTATTAAGAGCTTTGATGTACTGTTTCTGTTGAGTCACAAGCTTCTCAAATTGTGAATGCCATTCTTGGACAACATTCCAAAGTTGCACAGTGCGTTCATAATGATGCTTGGTTGTTTCCTTAGGAGCTTGAGAAATATCAAGAGATTTGAGGTCCGTAACGATTTTCAGCTGGCTGTCATGATGTATGCTCATATTTTCCCACATACTGGCCATCCTGAAGAGAAATCAAGCAGGCTCATATTCAGATACATTCATGATGCAAACAGCTCTTTTAAACTAATGTTCTCTCCCTTACAAGTTACACCCCTTTTATAGAATGAAAATCTAGACACTGTTGATATGGCAGCAGCAAGATATAACAATCAAACAGCATACATTCAACATTTTGTATCTAGTCAGTATCAGAGCAAATTGAAAACTAGGAAAGTACATACATATGTAAAGTAATATGATTCTTATAATAATTAATTGATCTTTTTCTAAAATAATGTCAAAGTGCACTTTGGTGTCCAGGCTCAGAACTTAAACGACACATATAAATTGCAATTCCAAGAACTAAACTGCAGAATAAAATGCTTTTTTAGATCAGAATATCCTGTTATTCTAGTGAATATTTTGAAACATTAATTACTAGGACGCTGGATTCAATTTTGCTCTAAGATTTCAGGATGCTGTAGACCATGAAAAAAAGTTTACAATGATCCACTTTCCAATCAACTCACAACCTTAATAGCACCTAACATCCATACGGGTTTCTTCCACGAAACTTCATTGAAGCATAGCTATTTACGCACCACCACTAAGATATCAAATAATATGGAACAATCAAATGAGGCAATAGCAATACCATTATATCTCTTTAATTTCTTATTGGCAATACTTACTCATTAACAAGAGCAACAAGTTTAGGATACAACTGGTCATCACGAATATGGTTCACTTCTGAAACTGTTGAATCCATCGACTGCATATCGACAATATATCTTGTATGTAAATGACTTACGGCTGCTTTAGTTTTTTCTAATGATTCAGCACTGGCACCACGCTTCTTCTGTTTGTTCAGAATTGCAACTTTTCTCTGATATTCAAACTTCATAAGCTCACCTTGCTGTTGACAAGGAGTGAAGTTTAATTGATAAGCTGAAGCCATTTATTAAGAGCTACAAGTTAATAGCATAAATAATCAGCTTTAAACAATTAAAGTGATTCAGAGAAGCATGCATCAACAAGACATGAACAGAAACATTCTTGAACAAAAAATAAACAAATAAAGTTCAATGGAAGATCAAGACAAAGCTAACGCGATCAATGAATGTAAAAATGTCAAAAATGGAAGATGACACCCACCTTCACCTCTTCATAAAGTTTCTTTTCCCACGCTAACAACTTGTCCAAAACAGTGGCATGGGTTTCATATTCTTCAGAATCAAAATCATCTTTTGCCCCATCCCCATTGGACACACCTCTGAAGGACCTATTCCACGTTATCACGCGCATAACCCTAGCAGAATGATCAATGTGACCTGCTCATGTCACTGCAAATTAGCTCAACCATTCATGTCCAACAAGCAACTAAAGAGTTTAAACTTCAAGTGCAGCTACAATATCAACTAAAATGATACACACACACACACACACACACACACAACACAACACAAGGAATAAATTACCCCGATTATCAGCGAAATTGGAATGATAATGCAACCTAGTGGCCTCAAGCATCTTGGTAACTTCTTGTGCACTCTCTGAAGCCTTCAAAAAATGATCATCAAGGAAAGTGAGAATCTGCATCAGAGTAACACTCGGAACAACCTTAATTGCTCTTCTAAACTCAGCAGGTGCTGTCTTTGAATGTTCAATATGCTTTGCCTCCGTTATCTCATCTAGCTCTTGCACATTTTCCATAACCTTCTCAGGTGTTTTAGGCTCCTCCACCTCATCATGACCTCCATCACCGTCAACATTATCACCTTCACCTTCCTCATTCTCATTCCCACCCTCAATCTCATCTTCCTCACTCAAAGAAGGTCCTGGCATGTTCTCCACCATGAAGAAATAATCCCAAGCCATGCCTTTCGATTCCGGCATAGGCGGCACCGACTTCATCTCCGGCGTTCGCGGCGGAGAAGGCGCCGCACCTCTCGATCCGACTTCTCCGGCACCCTTCTTCAGCGTCTTCCCTTCATCTGTCTTCAGACCTTCTTCTTCTTCTTCTTCCTCTTCGGCAATGGCGACCGTTCCGGGCTTCTGGTGCTGCATGGCGACGGTGGGCATGGTGACGGCGCGCTTGAGCGGACTGGGACTGGGGGAGAAATTCGGAAGCGGCGGCGGCGGCGGGAGGCTGTCATCCATGGGCGGAGGAGGTGGAGGCGGCGGGTTGGAAGATGTGTCGAGAGGTGGCGGGTGGAGTTCGAGGTCGTGGTGGGTTTCGCCGTGGCCGTAGTCACTGAGGGCGGAACCGGTGTTCTTAAGAGCCATGGCGTAGCCGGAATGGCCGGCGGCGAAGGCGTTGCGAGCAACCACCGCTTCCTTCATCAAGTTCTTGCGGTCCTTGCATCGAGCCACCGATTCCTCGTTGTCTATTTTCGATTGTGCGCAACCCATTTCCGTAACTGTAAGTTTTTCAGAACTTCTTCTTCGTTTAAGGCAAAAAGGGAATGAGTATTATTATGAGTGTATCACTCATGAGTCATGAAGAAGATGTGAGTTTGCAAACCCAAAAAAATTAAAACAAAAAACAAAAATGTGAGTTTGGAAGCAAAACGGCGTCGAATCGAAATGAAAGATAATATTAAGTGTAGAGAGAGAAAAAGAAGAAGAATGGTGACAAGGTAGTACAGCACAGAGGACACAGAGAGTGATGAATGTCAGAGTACAGAGTGCACAGAGTCTCACGGAGCAGAGTGAGAGTACACAGATTCGTCTACTCGCTGCTGAGAGTGAGAAATGCAATCGTTCTCGCTCCCAATGTGTCCCTATCAACACAATTTTAAAATAACGGTCATATGTTTTTTCAACAACAAAAATTCCTTATTATTAAAATAAAATAAAATAAAATAAAACAATAGGTTTACTTATTAAAAAGTATATTTTATTATTATTACGTTATTTTCCTTTTAAAAAAATACTTATTATTATTTTCACATTTCTTGCTTTAAGGTAGATGGTAGAATATTAAAATTTAAATATACGGTAAAATAAGTATAGTGCGAATATATATAAAAAAGGGTGTATGCATAAAACTATATAACTTGCATTATTGTTCCCTTTATAGTAAAAAGAATAGTGCTGGGTTATATAATTCGCATCTATATGTGCTGTACTGCATCTATGGGATCCCGATTCAACAGAGCAATAATATCATTGGGAAAAAAGCCGAAAAATATGAAGGACAAACACTGTTAAATTGGTACCTTATAACCAATCATCACATAATTTTTTAAAAAATGTAGTAAACTATTTTCGAAGAAATGTAATACATGATAGGGTTCGCTTTTTCTGCAGATAAGTTATCTGCAGTAAGCCCAATACGACGTCGTTTTGGGGCGGAAATCATGGTGTTTTTGTAATTTGAATTTATTTTAGGATTATAATAATTTTTGTACTTATAATTTTTTAAGATTTCAATACCAAAACGACGTCGTTTTGGAAATAAATGCAGATAATTTATCTGCATTAACTGCAGAAATATTTTTCCTTACATGATATCACATAATTATACATTTTCTTAAAGGATTTGATGTTTTTCATGTTATAATAAATAAAATTATCTTTTATATACATATAAAATTATGTGAGACCTATATGAAATCATGTAAAGAAAAAATAGAAAAAAAAATGAGTTTTATATGTTTTTATAGGAGATAAAATTATTCATATAATATAAGAAATATTAAATACATTGTTAAATTAAAGTAATCATACATATCATTTAAAATAGTTGTCTTAGAATATTTTAAAAAATCTTTTTAAATCCTAAAAGTAGTTTAATTCAAAATTACATTATTATGCTTGGGTTGTGGTAGAAAAAGATTTTAACGACTTTAATAAACCAAAATATTTTTTTAGAAAAAATATTTTATTTATAAATTAAGCAGATCCATCCAATAAAATGCATAACAAAGAAACAAAAAAATAATAATTAAAGAGGCAGAGACAAAACTAGTTCTTCGTCCCATACATAACAAATTAACAAATAAAAAGCGAATAAGAAAAAGAAAGATGAAAACTAGGGTTGTTGCTTATAGATCTTTAATCCTCCAAGTACAAAATTGCCTAAAACTAAAAATCAAAAAATATGTTTCTGTTGTCATTATCTAGCGCTTGCTTGCTGGTCTCAGGCGGTATTTCCTATAGTCACCTTCAAGTTTTAGAGTTCAACACAAGTTTTCACCTCCTAAATATAAGAATAATGAGTTGGACTTTATCGTCTTCACCGAAGCGGTAGGTTTTTATCTTTAACTTTTTTAACTTATCTAAAATCATCCCAATACAACCAAATTGGTAGCGGGAGCAACTGAAAAGGAAAGTTCGATTTGATTCATACATGTCATTTTCAAAAGGATTTGAATATTTTTATTGCTGATATGCTCGCTCTGCACTCTAAATTAGTTTCATAAAATTTATCAAAATATTAGGATAAGCCAACTTGTCAAAAAAATAATTAGGTTGAATTAACTTAAAAACAAATCATCCCAATACATCAAATAAACACTGCAGTCTGCAGCAACGTCATTATGAATTTTAACTTGATTTTCTTGCTTCTTTGGGCTTCTCCTTGTTTTTTAACCTTCAAAAGCACCAGCAAATCCATTAGTGAGATCCACGATGAATAATGAATATTACGCCCAAATTCCAAACAAAATTCAAACACTGCAATCGGTTGCCTCGTAATCTGTTAAAAATGAGCTGCCAACCCGATCCGAGCCAGTTCGTGAAAAAACGAGCCAACCTACGGGTCAAACAAGCCAGCTCGAGGATTTAGTTTTTTTTTATATAAAAAAATACAAAATATAATATACAAAAATGAAAAAAATCTACACCTGTTGTCATCATTTTTCTTCCTTCTCTAAACATAAGTCCATAATCTTCTCACATCCCTGCCATTTTTATATTCTCTTTGGTTCAAATATCTTACCCACTTGGTAGCAAATGGTTCTGATTGTTTCTTGACGTTGATGTAATTTTGTAAAAAAATTCGAAACTAAAATATTTTGTTTATATTTCTCATTTCGTAGCCCCTTGTTTAAGCTGATGGAAGCCACGTGACTAATGCATTAATACTACAGGGTCATTTAAATAGGCTGAAAACAAGCTAACTCGCGAGTAATTTTCGAGCCAACTCGCGAGCTATTTTTTCAAGCCAACCTACGAGCCATATTTTTGAGTTAACCCTAACCCAACTCGGATCGGGTTGGGTTGGGTTTTCTGGCTCATTTTTTTTTCGAATCAACCATAACCCGACTTGTTTTGTTGGCTTGGGCCAGGTCGGGCCGGGTTGGTCCGTTTCGCTAATCCTAGATAGAATAACTTATCCTTATATATATAAGTATAAAATGAGAGTAATAAAAATGATAATACTAAAGTTGATGTATCGATAGATGGTGTGTTTTAGTTTGAGTTAAAGGAAATTTATTGACATTTTTTTATGTGTTCTATAGTCAATGTAGATAAGTTATCTACATTGAACCCAAAACGATATCGTTTTGGAGCAGAAATCAAAGTATTTTTGTAATTATAATTTATTTCAAAATTATAATAGTAGTTCAATTATAATTTTTAAAAATTTTCAACCCAAAATAATATCATTTTTTAGAAAGAATATAAATAACTTATCTACATTTACGGTAGAAACATTAAAGTCTTTTCATTATTGCGATACATGTTCAGTCCCTTTTCCCTATGTTTATTTAATTATTTATTTAATTATTTTCTGTTCTATTTTTCCTTATCTATCTTTTTTTTTAAATTTCATTTATTTATATCTTTTTATTTATTTGTTTAATTTTCCCCATTTTTTCCCTCAAACTTTTATGAGTTTAATATTTTTGTTTTTAGTCCATTAAATTTTTTTCCGCTATACTCAAAACAACATTATTTTTAGAAGAGAATATAGATAACTTATAGAAACATTAAAATCTCTATTTTTCCTTATCTATCTTTTTTTTTTAAATTTCATTTATTTATATCTTTTTCCCTCAAACTTTTATGAGTTTAATATTTTTAATTTCTTAATCCATTAAATTTTTTTCCACCATACTCACGTAAAAATAAATGAATTTCACTATAATAAGAAGATAGATAAAACATTTGTAAGAACCATTCACTTTTATTGTGAACAAAACGGAAAAAAATTATATAACAAAAACAGAAATATTTTTCTCATCTTTTATTACTTTTATTTGGGTTCATGAACCACTAACCCCAATTAATTTAGGTTCATGACCCAGTTTGTCACCCTATTATAGCTAAAGTGTGTTTATAAATCCCCTATTAAGTGAGTCAAAAAATTTACGTTCCCACAGGTTATATAAAACTTCCACTTATAAAATAATTAATAAAGTATTTCTTTTAAAAACTAATTTAAGTCAGAATAATTTATTAAAAAAAAAGATTTACTAATGGAAAATATGGAGAGATGAGAAAGTGAGGCAAATTTAGAATATAAGGGAACTTCGCCCATTTCCTCATGAAGATCAGACACTGTATTAGTATATTAACAACAGCATAACTTGTATTTGGCGAAAAAATGTTCAACATCTTGCTTGGGAGTTGCAGTAAGTACGGTACATACGTTCATTCCTGTCTTCGAACCCCAAGGAAACACTATATACAACTGCTGAACCACAAAATTGAAGGACTCGTGTCTCTGCATCAATGAACAAAGTTACCCCCAGTCCCTGCGACGAAAAGATTGGAAAGTTTCAAAATCTGTTAGAAACCTACCATGGAGCAAGGTTTTGATTAAAACACTAGTTCTCCTCAAAATTCAAAAATTGAACGAACTAGAAATAATTGGCAGGATTTCCAAAACTAGATCCAGATAGACATAGACCCTATCCTTCCATTTTTAATTTCTTCTCTTGTTTTTCTATTTATTTTTTCTTATCTATTTTTATTCTGTACTCTTAATTTTTTTTTCCACCATTTTTTTTTTTTTTTAACAGGATTGGATCAAGAAAGAAATTGGATACATAGACCTCCAAGCCCAACTAATTTAAGATAAAAATGTTATAATAATAACATTATTGATTTATAAAATGCTAGTATTCTAGCATGGTTCAAATCATTGGAAAGGAGGGACATTCCGCACAAGCAATAACCATAGTTCAAATTAATGAGATAAAGTATATTTATAAATTAATTGAGAAAAATGTTTCTGCAGTTACTGCAGATAAGTTATTTGCATTTATTTCCAAAACGACGTCGTTTTGGTATTGAAATCTTAAAAAATTATAAATATAAAGACTATTATAACCCTGAAATAAATTAAAATTACAAAAACATCATGATTTCCGCTCCAAAACGACGTCATATTGGGCTTACTGTAGATAACTTATCTGCAGTAACTGCAGAAAAAACAAACCCATACTAATTACATCTAA